TTGTTTTTTTTTTTTTTTTTTTTTTTTTTTTATATATTATTTCTTTAATCAAGACTTAATCTACATGCCTCATCTTGAATCTTTAGGACATCATACCCCTATTGCTCTGTCCAGCCCCAGTACATCAGATGTCTGGATGTAGTTCAAGCTATGTGTATAACTTGCAGACACTGCCTCCATTAGAAAAAAAATACTTTGTCATCCATGATGGTCCTCCTTTGAAAGGAGCTTCTCATTCCATCATTTCTCAGTGGCTCAGAAAAATCCTCATTCAAATTTATAGTCTGATCGGTATCTACTCTTTTCCCTGTCACGGCACACTCTACTAGATTGAGTGCTTCTAGGCTTTTTCAGCATCAGGAAACTTTCCCAGGTTGGCAAGGCTACCACCTGGTCTTCTGTTTACACATTCCTAAAGTTGTACCAGGTGGGTATTCAGATTTCTTTTTAAGCCAGCTTTGAGTGAAAAGTTCTTCAGGAAGGTCTTTTAAGCTTCAGATAGTTCCTAATTTTTTTTAATTATAGTTGGACCTGTTAGCATTTTGCTTGCTGCGTTACCATTTCTCAGCTGGACTGCTTTTGGATGTGCCAAATGTCTATGAAAACAGGATTTTTGTAAGGAGTTCATTGAGGGACACAGGTCCCCAACCCTTTGTTTTATGATCTTATACTTTAACACAGCTCTGTTACAAAACAAAGCCTGAGGCATACTGGGAGCGGGATGGTTTGTATGTGGCTGACCACTCTTCTTTTTTTTGTGTGTGGCATAAGCTAACCACCTGCTGTCCGGCCGTTGTAATTAAACGGCTGGACAGCGGCTTCTTGGATGTGGGTGGGCGTTTTTAAACATCCCGCCCTGCATGTGCCCGCTGCTAGGCGGCGCACGAGCGGGAAATCAGCTTGAAATGCATACAGCCAGCGATGGCTGTTTACATACAAGCGTTCTGGCTTTTTTTTTCAAAATCTTCGGTACTTTTTTCATATAGTAAAAAAATAAAAAGCCCAGTGGTGATTAAATACCACCAAAAGAAAGCTCTATCTGTCCCCATAAAATGGTATAAAATGAATTTCAGTACAGCGTTGCATGACGGAATAAATGTCAGTCAAACTACTGCAGGCTGAACACTGAAAAATGGCCTGTACAGGAAGGGGGTATAAACACCCCAGTCAGCAAGTGGTTAAAGGAAGATCATAGTTGTAGATAACCTGTGTATAAACCTAAAATGTATTTTTCAGTATTCTTCCAATCTTTCCTCAGTGTATAGTTCTCTTATTTAGGTTTTTTGTGCATCTGACACACTAAAACATGGTGCAACTGGCTGCACACCACACGTCAGTGTGCTGCACGGCAGCACACATCCCTCGGCAAGGTACCTTGGGGTGGTTTTCAGAATGAATGGCACCGCCTCGCACCAACGCATGTAACGTGCATTTCCGCATGTGAATGGGCTCTAATCCACTGCCTCTCAATAATCAGCAGCGTTGTCAGCCTGCTGTCCTACCTATCATGTCTATTAGATTTTGTATTTTTCCCTCATTTTGAATCCGGGTGGAATAAAAAAAAAAAATCAAGGTTTCTTGTATGTGTAGATCTTTTTAGTTCTTTATCAGTGTTATTTTATATTGACTTTATTTTCACTATCCACTATGTGTCTGCTCTTATTTACACACTAACAAACTAACACTAATGTTTAAAATGGAACTATGGGGTAACCTTTTTATGCCCTAGTTCTCTTACGGGTCACGGGAAGACCTATACTAGCGTCCTCCTGTGACCCAAAACTCACAGCCGGGACGGATCCCATCACTGCTTTCGAGATCCGCCCAGCTGTGTGAGTGACAGCTGGCTCTGCTCATCTAGAGGCAGAGCCAGTTGTGCCCTACCCCGTCCGTTCCTCCAGTCAGCCCTGGAGGATCGGGGGGGAGAATCACTGTGGGGAGCGGTGACTGACAGTCACCTCTTTCTGCAGGGAGATGATCGGAAAGTGAGTGAGCGAGCGATGGTATGCGCCTGCTCACTTCCCGATCTATAGAGGCGACGTGTGACAGTTTCATTGGCTTGAACTATATGGTTGAGTAAAAATCACTTGCCTCATAGTTCTCTTTTTTTAAAATATCAAACCAAAGTGTGCCATGCCTTTACAAGTCATGTTCTGGTTTAATGTTTGCATCTAGAAAGCGTGTACTGTAATTGCAGAATAATGTGTAACTAGTTCATACTCATTAGTGGATGTACTTAAAGCTTGTTTTAAGCTGCTTTTAGTTTGTGATCTAAAATGTAATAGAATGTCTTTTTCTATTTTCAGGTGGTCTTCTACAACTCACCCAATGTAATATGGAAGTCTGAACCTTTTTAGATGTGCCTTCAGTAATACCATTGCTGCAGAACGTATGGATCCTTTATATTTGAAGAGTTGGTCTCACTTTTCCAAAAGTGTTCCTTGATGTGTGACCCATCATTTTTTTTTTACAATGATCCTTTATATTGGAGATGAGACAGACTTTCTGAGAATTATATAAACCACCATATAAAAATTTTAAATGTACACGCTCCCCAGAATGTATTTTAGTAGCAGAAAGTTAAGAAGATGCCAGTTTCTTCAAGTATTGGCCAGTTGCTTTGTTGTGTCTTTCATGCTGATGTGGGTTCAGGACGACAATGATATTGTAAACCACATAAAGTCTTACTCCTACAGATATCTCATAAACCGTTATGGATTTGTAAATGACAGCTTAACTGTTTTACGGGACAAATCTGATAGGTCAAGAAACTTTGAGTACTTGATCAACAATAAAGACAAATGTCAGGAGGATGACGTGCTGCTCTTGCTGTTTGTAAAGACTTCTCCAGAGAACCGAAGACGGCGTGATGCCATTAGGTACACCTGGGGAAATGAGAATTATATACGATCCCAGTATGCTGCCAACATTAAGGTTATGTTTGCCCTTGGAGTAGATAAAGACCCCGTAAAGCGCAGCCAGCAACAGAAGCAGCTTGAAGTGGAAAACAAGGTGCATCGTGACTTGGTACAGCAAGAGTTCCTAGACACGTTTCATAATTTAACTTTAAAGTTCCTGCTGCAGTTTGGATGGGTGAATGCATACTGTCGCCAAGCAAAATTTATTATGACGGCAGATGATGACATCTTTGTTCATACACCTAATTTGATTTCATACTTGAAAGATATGGATTTAATAGGTGTCCAGGACTTCTGGATTGGTAGAGTCCATCGTGGATCGCCTCCAATAAGAAACAAACATAGCAAGTATTTTGTCCCATATGAAATGTATCAGTGGGCTTCTTATCCTGATTACACTGCAGGGGCTGCCTATGTAGTTTCTCGTGATGTGGCAGCCAAAGTATACGACGCATCGCAGACGTTAAATACCAGCCTGTACATTGATGATGTTTTCATGGGAATCTGTGCCAATAAAATGGGGATTGTGCCTCAACATCACTTATTCTTTTCAGGGGAAGGTAAGGCACCCTATCACCAGTGCATCTATAACAGGATGATGACGTCCCATGGACATGTAGATGATCTACATTATTTGTGGAAGCAAGCAACTGATTCTAAAGTCAAAGATTTAACATCTGGCTTCTGGGGACATGCCTACTGCAAGCTGATTAACATTATGCTTCTTTGCAGGATTCGATATGATGATACGTATCCATGTTCTGCTGCATGGTCCTAGTAATGTTTTGAATGAGTATTTTTGATTGGCCTGTTCTGGTGCTAGACCAGAGAACTGCAACAAGTGAAATCGCTATATAGCTAAACCAACATTTGATGTAATGCACAGGATGAATCGCATTTTGACAAGTGGATGTATGTTTACATTTAATGGTTTGCACTAGCACAATAACCTCAGAATATGGGTGCTATATATGATTTGGAAAGATTCAGTACTTTAATGTTTAAACTGAGGATATGATTGTTGGGCCAAGTAGTTGGGAATAAAATCCATTACTTAATAGTGTTCATTTAAAAGCCAGAGATCTAATGAATTCTTAATAGCTTTGGACGCAAGTCAGCTGTTGGCATTGATTACACGTATGGTTCATTCAGTATACTATGCATCCATAGCATCCAATAGCCGTGCATTTTTTGCTTCAATACAGTTCTTTATGATGCAGTGCCACAGGTTATTGCATCTTTAATTTTAGCTTTGCTTGCACTGCTTAAGAATAAGGCCAATGTTCAACTCTTAGCATACCGATGCACCCAGATATTTGTAAGTATTTTAGCTTTACTAAAACCATACATGCAAAGCTTTCAAGGACACGGTCATTTACATTTTTTATACTTACAACTTTAGTATCTAACGTTTGGACAATTTGAGCCCTGCTTTACATATGCTGAATCCTTTTTATCACTAGATAAAACAAGGCCTTTAAGTCCTACCTTTTTAGGTCTGGGAGGAACTATGATTGTTATGCCAAAATAGTACAAATTAAAAGGTTTAGCATTTGATGGCAAAACTAAGCCAAAAATCCCCTCTTCCCCCCATTCCTGCCTCAACATAGCAGTATTTTGGACATTAAAATATTACTTCCAATTGCTTATGTAGGTTATCAAAGTAGGATAAGAGACTAGATTCTCATAACCATCCCCTTCAAAGTCCTATTGGGGGGGACTATCCTCTCCTAATAGTTTTTCATGTGTTACCGGATTAGGGTTTTTCCCCCATGGACGTCACACCGAGATGATGTAGAAATGTGTACTGTTAGCACTTTTTTTTTACTAAAAGCAAAGCTCTTGTACCTAGGGTCTGGGTTATGTGAGTAGCCAGTGATGCTGTCAGACTTTGGGTCTGTCACCTGCATGCAGTCCTCCCACCTGTAGTTTACAAAAGAGCAATTCTTGGTGAATGAGGAAGTCGCATGCTAAAATTCCCACTCTAGTAAACCATAAGCATGAAAAGCCCTTGCCTCTAGACCAGGGGTCTCAAACCTCGGGCCCTCCAGCTGTGGTGAAACTACAAATCCCATGATGCATCCCTCTTTGGAAGTCATGTCTGTGGCTGTGAGAATCTTGCAATGCCTCATGGGATTTGTAGTTCCACCACAGCTGGAGGGCCGGAGGTTTGAGACCCCTGCTCTAGACTAATGCTGGCTACACATTGCCCGCTTTATGTTTCAGAGTTGCTATGTCAAATCAACTGAATTACATAGCTGTTGGAAGACTTCATTGGCCCTATAAATCTGCAATAAAATCCGACTGTACAATCTATCTAAAGTAATATTAAGGTGTGGGTGTTTTTTACCTTAATGCATTCTCTGCATGGGATACTGATGGCAGAGGAGCCATAGGCAAATTGTAATTCAAAACCCGTTTCCTATTTTCTGGTAAACGCTGTCTAACTAAAGCTCACCACACCACAATCTTAATTGTACAATCTCCTTTTAGATCTACCAAAATGTATGTAGTGCAAGGACCTGCCTGACTGATCTAAAATGGGTGGTTTTTAGCTCTGTCCCTATTGCAGTTTTGGAGATTGTAACAATCAGATTGTAAAGTTTATGGCTAGCTTTAGATATATTTCTTTGTGTGTTTTTGAAGGCCAAAATGGTTTTCTGTTAAACGTTTAAATTGGTACGATCAGACAACTGTTTTACAACTTTTGCAAATTCTTCCTTGAAGGCTTTACAACTTTATCGGGACATGAGGATTTGTATGCGTTAGGCTGAGACATTTTTCTTTTCATCCCAAAATAGGCGTGTAGGATATGCCAGGCACCAGGATATCGTAGAAAAGAAAATGTATGTACAGCACTAATCTGCAAGTCCCTCTCGCTCTGAAGTGATCACGATGGTGGCCATTAAACACTTTTTTGGTTATAGAACACCATTTTCAAACAAGTCCTGTATGCTGGTTTTAAAGCTTTTTGCACTTGATGGGGTCTAATATACAAAGTTTTTAATTGATGTTTTTACATGTGTCTCAAAGAGCCCGAAAATCTGTTCCAGCATTATTTTAAATAGTACCACAGATTGCACACGATCAAAGGGCTAGACATTCCTTGTATTATTATTTAACATCCAGCACATCTTTTAGGTTGGAGACACGCCACCTTTGTTTAGCCCATGGTTGCTTGTTTATGCAGCACTGGGTGATAATTGTGCAGTTTTATACATGAGGTGTGTTTACGAAAGGCAAATAGGTTGTTGACTTTGCAAGGGAATTTTCATTCTGCTGGTGAAGTGTCTCTTAGCTCGGTAAATGTGGTGAAAATTTACTCTGCACAGAAAACCAATCATGTGCATGGAAAATGTAAAAAAAAACCCTCATATTTTTGCTTGCACATAATTGGATGATGGAAGTCAGTAGCGCTTCACCTCATTCACCATGCTAAGGGAAAAGTCCCTTGCAAAGTGAACAGCCCATTATGTCTTTTAATAAATCAACCCCTTAGCGTCTTCTTTTAACAATTTTCTGCTCACAGGTAAATTTGCTCTTATGAACTACAGCAGGTCTGTTTTCCAAAAACATGTTTGTACAAAGTGGAATTGATGATCTATTCTTGAAGCTATGAAGGCATACAATGTGAAATGTTGCCTGAGCTTTTAGAAGCAATTCTTTTTGATAAAGGGTTACCAGACAGTGGTTACTGTGGCATGGTGAGAGAACTTGCAATGTCTTCTGTGATCCATTAAGAATTTATTGGCAGCCCTGAAATTTAGAACCTGTACTTCTATAGTTTTATATTGGGATTTAGATTCAGAGCTCAACATAACACGTGTAGAATATAATTTTGCAGGTCAAACATGTTGGGTTGTCACAATGGAACTACAGAGCACGGTGCTCAATTGCTGCTTTTAACAGCCATCTCGGGTCAAACAGGAATGTGCAACAAATTATTTGTAACTTTATTTGTATTTTTTTTGTTATTTATATTGACTTTTAAAGTTTGTTTAAATGATTTAAGCCTTTTTTGTATTTCCAAAATAACTGTTTTCAATAAATTGTCTGACCAAAACTCGACTTGATTTTGTTACTGTAAATCACCTTGAAAATATTTGTGTAAACATGCCAAGTCCACGTGGATATTATTCAGTGTGGCTCTGCCACCTCTTGCTTTTAGCTGCCAGTAAAAGGCAAACGGCTGGCATAGCTGGCAGAGATGACCTAACCAGTAGTGTTTTTGAGCACTACAACAAGTGCAGCTAGTGTGCAGGCATGTTCATCACTCCAGTTCAAAACAAGTGAAAAAGATGAATCCTCTGTGAGGAAAATGCCTATCTCTGCTGATGCTGTTTTCCGTGGTTCAATGAGCACTACTAGCGGCAACAATTAAAGCTTTGATTACATTTTGTGTGAAATACAGCTTCAAGTAAATTTGACTTGGATGTACTATAAAAAGCATGTGTGCCCAAACCTTGGACATGGATGGTTATTAAGTAACCAGGATATAGGAGAATCCTACCACACTCCTTACTGGTATGTCCCTTGTGGTGAGTGCTTTGGTGACTGCGGATGGTGCCACTTCAGATTCATGTAGTAAAATATAACTAAATACTGATGGCAGCAGTCAGTAGATCTCAGCTATGCACTCCATTTACTTATGTAAATTTTAAAGGTTTATCCAATTGTGCCTAGTAATGCAGAAATGCTGCACCCATAGATATGGTTGAAAGTAGGGATGCACCGATACCACTTTTTTAAGGCCGCGTACGAGTACCGATACTTTTTTTCAAGTACCCGCCGATACCAATTACTGATACTTTTTCTTAAAGAGACAGGTCAAATTTTTTCTAAAGCAATACAAAATCATGATTTTAGGTCAGTTTCTTAATATTATGAAGAACATGAACACTCTGTAGTGTGGCACAGCTATATCCAATTCTGCATACCTGGCTTTATATTATAAGAACTTTATAATATAAAGCCAGGTATGCAGAATTGGATACAGCTGTGCCACACTATTCTAGACATGTGCTCATCTATTTTCACCACTAGTGGGATACAAGCCTTAGTCTACATAGTACATAGTTAGTTATTTTATTTTTTTGAAATGATATATGCCGGTAAATAGCATTTTTGTGCCCAGCCCCATGAGGTGCGGCAGTACTAACCTGCTGTGTCGTCTTCTCCGTCTGCTTCAGCCACTCCGTGTCACAGCCTAGTCATCTGCTCCATTCTGACCTCTTCTCCTGCTGACTGGATGATTGACAGGCTTCCTCACCAATCGGCCAATCAGCAGGAGAAGAGGTCAGAATGGAGCAGATGACAGAGGTCGCGGCCATCTTGCTTCATTGAAGACGCGATGGAGGTCCTGTGTGCGGCGGATTCGGGTCCCTGAAGATGGTGGACGCGGCACAGGTACTCGTTTTATGTATTGGAGTATTTGTACGAGTACTCATGCAAATACTCGGTATACCTTCAACTATATCTATGGATGCAGCATTACTGCTTTACTGGGCATAATTGGATAAACCTTTAATTTACAAAATACGTAGATGGAATGCATAGCTGAGATCTACTGAGTGCTGCGATCAGTGTTTAGCTTGGTAAAAAGCAGATGGAATGTACCTATATTTGAGAAGACTGAACATATACATAAACCTAGGAAAAAGGTTGTTCGCAGTACCATCTGCAGGGCAGAATGGGGCCCTTTATAGGTGACAAAAGTAGCCACCCTCCAGAAGGAACGACCGTGTCGGCTCCAATTCAGAGCTTATTTGAGGCTCTACAGCTGAGTGAGAGGCAAATCCC